ATCTGAAACAGGAGTTTTGCTGGGAGAGGAGATAATCGGTGTTGGAAGGCATTTAGGAATGAGAAAGGAAGGATGTTTAAATGAGGGGGCCAAGGTAGGAAGGGGCTGAATCTAAGAGGATAGTGTAGGAAAAGGAAACGAAGTTTCATAAAAAATGACATGACGAGAAATGTAGACTTTTCGAGAGACTGGATCAAAGCAACGATAACCCTTATATGATTCTGGATAACCAAGAAACAAACAAGGAACTGAACGAGGACTAAGTTTATGAGATGCTAAATGAGAGAGATTTGGAAAACAAGAGCAACCAAAAACCCTAAGTAACCCATAATTAGGTGGATGGCCAAAGAGAAGTGAGAAAGGGACATCTCCGAACTTAGATGTAGTAGGCAGCTGGTTTAAGAGATAAACACAAGTGGTTAATGCTTCAACCCTGAATTCATTTTGTAATTGGGCTTGATGAAGAAGAGTACGGACCATGTTAAGAATAGTTTCATTCATCCGTTCAGCCTTCCCATTTTGTTGGGGAGTGTATGGACAAGAGACTCGCATTGCGACCCCCTTTGATTTAAGAAAGGTTTGAAGAGATTGAGAACGAACTTATTCAGCAGCACCATCTGATTGAAGTATTTTAATAGAAGAATGGAATTGAGTTTGAACAAGATTATAAAATTCAACAAACTTTTGAGGAACTTCAGATTTATTTTTGAGAGGATACGCCCATAGGTAATGAGTAAAATCATCTAGAAATAGAACAAAATATTTAAAACCACTAAAGGAAAGACAAGGAGGAGTCCAGGCATCAGTACGAATAATATCAAAAGGACTGTAAGTGACAGACGACGAAGACTGAAAAGGAATCTTCTGATACTTTCTAATTTGGCATGCTTGACACAGGTAATGCTTATTGGACAAAACCACCGAACCAGGAAGACTCGGACGGGACACTAAACTGGACAAGACAGAAGAGTGGGGGTGACCAAGACGTTAATTCCACAGTTGGGAAGACACTGGAGCAGCAAACGCCGGACATGACAAGGAAGATGGTGCAAGAGACTGATGTAGCAAGGTAGAAGGAAAGGTACAACGGGAACCTGTGCTATTGCAACGTAGACGAGGGATCCTCGTCCAGAGATCCTTCACAGAAAAACCAAAAGGATCAAATTTAACGGAACATTGATTTTCAATAGCAAATTGATGAAGAGAGATAAAATTTTTCGCAATAGAAGGAACACAATAAATGCGAGGAAATTTAAACGAAGAACAACAAATAGTGCCAACAGATTTAATGGGCAACATATTACCATTACCAATCACAACCCTAGTGGATCCATTATAAGGCTTGGAATCGAAAGAATACCTTGAGTGGGAGTCATAATGTTACCACAAGCTGTATCTATATACCAGGATAAATCCACGGATGGAGGAGCAAGAGGTCGAGTATATTGATCAACAAAGTAAGCGGGTTGCCAAAATTGGAAGCATTCTCTAGCAGAGTGATTCGCTTGATTGCATAATTCATAATGAATAGTAAGTTGTTCTGGCTGAAAAGAGGGAGCTGGACCAAGAAGTGAAGGAGCACGGTTTCTGGGAGAAAACATAGGAGGCTGAAAATTAGAGTAAGCAGGATAAAATGAATTATACTGACCAGATTGATTTCGGCCACGTCCGCGACTGCCGCACCCCCGAAAATTCTGGAACCTACCTCAACCACGACCACGATTGTTGGTGAAACATTGAGAGGCGGCTGAAGTAGGAAGGGATTCAGTTGAAGAAGTCGCAACTAATGCCGGAGTTGCCGCAAGAGGAGCAGCAGGGATGGTATTCTGTAGTTGCACTTTGTGCAAGAAAAGCATGGAGCGAGCTTCAACAAAATTAGGCAACGGGACTTTGTGATTAATCGTGGTCAAGGCAGATTGATTTTCAGAAGGAATGCCAACAAGAATTTGAAGGACCAAGTCGGTTTCAGAGACTGGAGAACCAACCGCCGATAGAATCGGCAAAAGATTTAAGTTTGGTGACATAATCATTAATGGATAAGCCACCCTTCTTGAAACTATGGAATTGGAGTTTCAATTGAAGAAGACGAGAGCCAAGTTGATCCTGAAAAAGCTATTGAATAGTTAACCATGCTTCTCAAGCAGTAAGATTGGAATTTGGTTTAACTATAGCTTGCAAGATTTCATTTGAGACTGTGGCTTGAACCCAGGAGAGAGCGGTGGAATCAATTTGAATCCATGTTTGAAAAGCAGGATTTGGGACAGAAGCGGAAGAACCATCCGCAGCGGGAAGAGTCGACGGCGGACAGAGAGAGGTACCATCAATTTCATACCATGAAAGAATTATATTTCTGTGTATATTATCAGTTGTACATTGAGATGTATATATAAAAGGATACATAAAACCCTAGCCGACTATTCCGGAAACCCTAATTTGGTTTCCGTAATTACATACACTATCACTTCCTACTTGGGACCGAACTGTCGTTTTGAGTTCATGAGTGATTTCCTCTATAGCCTATAGGATATGGGGAAAATCAGTGATAGAACAAACCTTACAAATAAGGAAAAAGCATTTTCTTAGTTGGGTTTAGGAATGAAAGTGCTAAACTGAAGAGTAGTTGTTTACGACGCTTATGTTACAATTACTACAGCAAGCCTCTTCCTATCACAAAAGAGTCAGCTAAAAAGGGCTTATCTAAGTGTCACGGTGTGGATTCAGATTCCAGGGCTTGAACCTAAGTATTTACCATATGGTCACCCTCTCTTGTTATGAGCAACATTGGTAAACCCCAATAATTGGAAATTATGCTGACCAGTTTGTTCTTCATCTGATCAAACAAACTCAGGGTGAGGTATGCTCGGGTATTGGTGGACATAGAAATTCAAGAAAAGCCTCCTGAAAAGGTTAAATTTGTGAATGAAGAAAGAATACTGATATAGCGAAGATTGTAGTATATGAATGGAAGCGTGTGAAGTGTGCACATTGTAGTTGATGTGGCATCACTCTGATGAATGTGGCTTCTTACAGCCCAAGATAGAAAGGTTTGAGAGAAATGTTTTGTTTGGTGCAGAGCTTACATGGTCTTTGCTATCTTGGTATAGGTGAACAAAACTGTTCCACACTCCATGCTATGACAAGTTTTATCTCTTTTCTACCCTATATTTCCTCAAGGGAATGTCTGGTTAGTCTTGTGATCAGCTAATAGTCCAAACTCTATATGGCTCGGAATATTTTTGTTTTCTAGGTTGGTGAGTTTAGTTACGTACACGTATGGTGAGTTTAGGTTGCTTGACGAGTTCGTCCCAAAGGTCACTGAAGGTTTTACTTGAATAGTGTTGGGTGGATGATTCGCGTACATTTTACATTTACGTTAATTTGTTGTGAGTTGTTATACCGTAAGCATTAAGTGTAGATAGTTAGGTGCACTTAGACTCTTTTTTTATTATTTAATAACGGAAGGACTTCATGTATAATTATTTAATATGTTTTATTTTTTCTTTTCAATGCACGTGTCCCTTCCTCTTAATTTTAGGAAGTGGGTTTTAAAAATTTTTCAAATTTTCAATTCATTTTATTTCATAATCCGTAAAGAATTAGACCAAGTGTCATATATCATTTTGATAGTATTCGATGAAATCTATCCAACAAAATCCATTATGAATATGTTTTTCGAAAGTTTAAAAAATTTATGAAATTGGGTTGGTCTTCCTAAGAGACGCCCTGGTCTTCCTAAACCGTTAATTGGGGGACTTTGCCCCCCATGATAAACTAAACGACCCCCGCGGCTACCGGAATCACAGGTCACCAACCCACCCGCGACTGCACCGCCCCCGCCGAACATGCCAATTTTTATAAGGTCAATCCTTTTTTTGTGTGTGTGTAAGGAGAGTATGTGTGTGAGTTAGTGTGTTATTGCGTTAAGAGGGGAGTCAAATTCAAATAAATTAAAGAAGCAAACTGTTAATTGGGGTGCTTTGCCCCCCGTGATAAACTAAATGACCCCTGCGGCTACTGGAATCGCAGGTCACAAACCCGCCCGAGGCTGCGCCGCCCCCGCCGAACATGCCAATTTTCATAAGGTCAATGCTTTTTTCGTTTGTGTGCAAGGAGATTGTGTGATAGCAATCTCATAGATGAAGCAAATTTCGTTAATGCAACCATCAAACAAAAAAATACAAAGATAATTTGTCTATCCCGTGAAAATCAAAAGAGTGCAGAAAATTAAAATAAGACGATCTTTATCTAAGGAATTCTATCTCTTATCTCAAACCAAGCAAAGAACACATTATCCATGAAAGATTTGAATTAAACAACAGCCCACACTAAGAATACTAAGGACACCATTCAATATACTCGATCAGTTATCATTCAAAAGACTCAAGAAAGGTAGGAGCAAACAATGCTCAACTATGAAGGAATACTATTGATTAGTAATCTCCATAACTAACAAAGATATGTAACACATACATTATCTCAAAATGCTTATTCCAAAGTACAACTCATCCAACAAAAGTAGGACAAACCCCACAATGGAACTCATGAACACACACATCATGAATTCGAAAATCATAGCTAAAAGAAAGGCTTAGCTCTCGAACTACTAGAAGTAGTATGAAAATAAGAAGTTTAATTTTAAAACAATTCTATCAAGAAGCATACTTGAAAAAGGACGGTTTCTACAAGTTCAAAAGATCCAAGACAAGATGAAAACCCTCTTGGTTAAATCATACTTGACACGAAAAATAGACACACCATTTAACAAAAATTCCTCACAGGAAAAACTCTCATTCGAGACAACAAAAATGACCACTCACGGGTGCTTTAACTTTCGGCCATATCCCCGTATTTATAGGCTTTGAATTTCGGCCAAGCACCACAAAGAAGACCAACTAGGACTCTATAATCTTATCTCATGCAGGAGTAGAAGTAGAAGAGTATTTGATCTCTTTGACTCTATCTAAAATCTAGGAAACCTTAGTTAAATGACTTATCCTCAAATAGGATAATACTTAGAAGGAATCTAAGACTCCTAATCAAAACACTCTAGTTTAATTCAGTCAACATGACTTATTTAACTAGATAAATTCAAAAATAAACTCCTTGACTAGATAATACTCTAATTCTCGAAAATCAGCTCCAAATATTGAAGTAAAATGTCTTGAACGCCCTTCCAAACGTGGAATATTGGTCTTGCGCCCCTCAAGTTGTAGAGAACTCCAATTTTACTCCAAAACTTGTAGAATTCTCTTTATTGACTCAAAAATATTGGAAAAACACTTGAAACAATTGAGATAGTCAGCAACCTATCCAATTGTGTAGCAATGGAGTCAATCTTGAACACTTTGATCAAATAGGCCGTCCACTCAAAAACCTAAATGACTCTTCTCTCTAGCTTGATCAATGATCTTCATGGAGCACCTAGAGTCAAACTCCTTTGATACTCTTGAGCACTTATTTCCATGAGTGAATCATCTCCTTTGGTTTGAACCCCAAAGTTAATGACATTCTCATCATCTTGATCGTAGCTCTCTTGAACCAAATCCCTATCACATAGGTAGTCAAGATTCATCCTTTCTTCTTTGATTGACCTGCAAAGTAAACTTGGCATTCCAAAACTAGAATAAAGGACTAGCTCATTCCCCTCACTAGGAGAATCACCATTGAAGGCTACATGATTCTCATCATCCCCTCTTTCTTTAAGAGGATTCGTCCTCGAATCATCAACCTCTGAACTTGCACAAGGAACAAACGAGATATAAGGGTTAGTAAAATCCTCACCCTCACGACACTTTGATTTTCTCTCATTGCGTGCATCTTTTTCTGTTTCCACACTATTTTCATGGTTTTCTCTTGCCTCAAGTCTTACCTCAGCATGACCATTTTTACTTTCTTGCGTCACTATCTCGACTTTTTCTCTCCCTTGTGTATATGTTATCTTACGTCTTTTCTCTCACACAGATTTAACTTCTTCATAAGCCAAAGGTTTAAGAATATATTTTCTATCCTCTTTAGTAAAGACAAAGATATCCTTCGAGCAATGGTGCACAATATCTACATCTGATTGCCAAGGCCTATCTAGCAAAATATCACAAAGAGACATAGGAATTACATGAAAGTAAATTTCATCCCTATACTCACCAACTTGAAAAGATACCATGGCTTTCTTAGTGACATCCACGACCATCTCTTTACTCAACCATTGAAGCTTGTATGGTCTAGTATGCGGATCCATCTTGATTCCGTTTGCTATGCAAAATTCCTCACTTATACAATCAGTACTCAATCCACCATTGATTACCAAATCAACTTCATTAGACCACCCAACCAAACACCTAGTACGGAAGATATAAGTCCGTTGGTCACCATCCTCAGCGCCAAACACCAACCTGACAAGTCGTCGTTGGACTAGTCAAATATAAAATTACCTATTTAGTACAATTACTAGCAGTAAAGTAGCAAGCAGGGTCGATCCCACAGAGAAGGATACTAAGTACCAGGTTAAAATTATTTCTTATTATTATTTAGACAACTAATAATAATGATTTTAAATTATACTAAACCTAAAACTAATAATTAAAATAAAATTAAAGAAGTAAAAGAAAACCTAGGGCAAAGGGTTCACCTACCGACTACTCAACTTAACTCAATCTAAAGATATGTGTCTTTGGACTTTCATTAATCTCAAGACAATTCACCAATTTAAAATTTATACACTCTCGTGCTATAAATCTCTTACTCAAATTAACCCTATGACTATTCTCGTGACTATAGGGATTAATAAAAGCACATTAAGAACTATGGAATTACTAGTCGCAAAGGCGGTGTTCCTACTGTCGTGGCTCACTACCTAAGTTTATTATTCCTACGAACTAACACTAGCGTTCCACTCTCGCTACTTCAACTAGCACCTTTAAAGCATGCAAGTGGTGATCAAATACTCACATGGAATAAAAACAAGAATATTAAATATCATTTAATGAAAAGGTGACAATCATGAATTAAATTAATTTAAATAGTACGGCGGCTACATCCAAAACCCTAGATTAAAATAATTTAGTTACAAATCATCTTAAAAATAAATAAAACAATGAAACCTGGGAGAAGTAGACCAAAAGTTGAGTCCGAAAATTGATTCAATGCTTCCGGAAACCCTCCCCTAACCACCACTTAGGTTATATACTCTCTCTCTAGAAAATATATCTCTCACCTCTCTCTAAAAAGACCGCCGGAAACCCTCCCCTAACCACCCTTAGTGGTGGTTGGGGGAGCCAAATCTTTATCTTTTTCCAAAAATGAGCTTTTTAACACACATAGGGGACGTTTTGAGGCGCCGGACCGAATCGGAATCTCCGCACTGTTCATCCCAACCATGTTGATGGTTGCAGATCGCCCCGCGCCAGATCTGAGTTTCCACCGAGTCCGACGACAAGTGCAAAACAGAACTAGCATAGAAGATCCTGCTCCGAAGCAAACACCATCCTCCCCTCTTGCTCCAAATACACAAGCTCTGGTTCCGCCACCAGATCTGAAGACCCACTTCGAGGAAATCCGGCGAACTCTGCCGCTGCTCGATGTGGTTGCCGTTGTGCTCTGACGATCCGGAAGACGAAGATGGTATTGCCGATCGATGATCATGCCGTTGAGATTTGCCGCTGCTCTGCCACCCAGAGAAGAAGCCATAGCCACCGTCTCCGACAGTCCCATCACCAACGGTTGCCTTCAGCAGCTCCGTTCCTATCCTCGACTCCAGATCTGCCCCGCTCAGTTCTGACTAAGTGATGCTTTCCCTGATGCTGCTTATGATTTCAACCAGATCTTATTCTTGTGCTCCAAAACGGTTCGTCGGCGCTCTGTTCTAAACCGGCCCGCCGGTCCATCATACCAAGACCGATTTGTCGGCCCATTCTTCTAAAGCCGGTCCGTTGATGATTTTCCGGAAACCGGTTACTTTGATCTACAAATGGACTATTTCGGATTAAGGGTTAGTTAGTTTAGACTTGTTGACTATTGACGTTCACTGTTTAGGATTCTCAAATATGCCCACCAAATGCGGCAGTCCATGAATGGTGATAGGTCTCAGATGGGGACAAGTTTACCATCTAGTCTTTTTTTCGATATAGTTTACTATTTTTTAAATCACCGTCATTATAAGACGATTTTTCATTGTACGGAGTAAGTCTTAAGCACTGCCTCGGGAATTTTTTTCTCTACTAATAAATTTCCTAGGTACTTACCTAGTTTTTTTTAAAAACAAATGTAAAAAATTTATCATTATCAATTACGTACCACTTGAATCATTAGGGAAAACTGATTCTTTTGATGGATTTAGACGTTCCTGGAAAATATAATTTAAAGGAATTTTATCACTGAATAGTACAAACCCTGGATTGTCCGCATTATAGGAACCTCCTGTTGCACTCTGTTGAAAGAGACAAATAGAAAAGAAAATTGAAAAGGGAAAAAGCAAAGAAATTGCAAAAAGAATTTCACAACACAAGTTCAGTTTACATATACATTGTTTAAATTATTGAATAACATACTCCCCAAACAGTATATATAATCGAGTTTGATTATCGCGATAGAGATCTGGACGTACCTGAAAAGGTTTTAAAATACGATATTAATCCATAAATTATAGATTGAAGGAAATAGCGAAAGTGAGCCAGGTAACTTAATAATAATAATAATAATAATAATAATATGTGTTGTGGACTACGTACGATCCATTCTGCTTCTATTACATCTGGTCTATTTTTAATTAATATTGAAGCCGCACTAATTAAATTGACCGGGATTGATTGGTTGGGGATGCCATAAAGCTATCTGAGAATATGTTCCTGTGAGGCCGGGTTGATTTACCACAATTCTTGCAAACTGGAAAAGCAACAAGATCTTCAAAACGGGAGAGAGGGACTAATAGTTTCCATGTTAAAGCATGAAGCAAAAAATTTACTCCCTCTATCCCAAAATTATTGCCCAGTTTGAGATTTCAGTTTTAGTACAATTTGAATTAAAAATGAAAATCCAAACTGAACAATAATTATAGGACAGAGGGGTATATTTTAAAGAAACACAAAAATGTATATATGTGAATCGAACACACGAGAAATATAAAGGCAACTGAATCACATAACGACTTGTCATAATTCATTTCTTTTTGCAGCAAAATGTAATTGTGTGCGACTAACAATTAATACACCATTTTTGTTCTTTATAAAGATTTAAATGTTTATGTTCATCACTTCCAAAACTTGAATACCAACAACGAGAGATAATTAAAGTGAAAAAAAAAACATTTTGAAGGAGTATTATGTAACAAATTGAATGTTTACATGCAGTGGTTAAACACCATCTTTTTTCTTTTGAAGGAAAAAGGTTGAAAGCAGTGTTGTCAGACTCGGCTCGGAGACCGACTCGGCAAGAGTAGGGATCAGGAGTTTTAGGGGTAAATTCGGGTCAACTCGGGAGATCGACTTGGATGACGTGATTATGATGTAATAAATAGTATATAATTATTATATATATTAATAATTAAAAAACTCAATATTTATATATTGGTAATAGTCAACAATATTATTTTAATGCATTTAATTATATATTAAAATAAGTATATTAGTTTAACAATTGATAAATTAATTATTAGTAATTAAAATGTACAAGATAATCAAGTTTTAGTATTAATAAAGTGCATAACATAAAAATAAATTTCAACATATTTGAGATATAGTTTAAATTTTGAATAAAGCAATGGACGTTCATATGTGAGAAAAATAATAAAAGAATTTTCCTTTGGAAAAAATGGTGTGTTTAATAATTGGAGCGAAAAGTTAAGGGCTAAAATGCGGATTAATTCTTTGAAGAAACGTTATTGGGCCATTTAAGAATAAAAGACAAACTTTTGGGCCATGAAAGATAAAGAAATGCACACAGAATTCAAGGAAAAAGTCAAAACACCGGTCAAGATTATGCAAAAACCAAAAACTCCGAGTCGATCCAGGTTTGACCGGTTCCCGGTTCACTTAGAGTTTTGACCGATTTTGACCGAGTCCTAAAACAACAAATTTTTAATTGATTTGGCTCGGCATATGGTCTGGTTTTTGGTTTAATCGGTTGAACCGATCGGTTCTCCGCGAGTTTAACAACATTGGGAAAGCAGAGCAACTCAACAAGAAATGAAATGAAGCGCAGTAGTTCGTTTGATGTTTTGGAATAGGCTTTCTAAGTTTTAGGGTGTTCACTTAACTTGAGAAGGATAGTATATAATCTTTAACTTTTATTGAAAAAGAAAAAAAGAAGAAACTATAGCGATTAAGAAATGAATGGCGTTATGTACAATCTGTTAGATTATTTTACATCTATGTGGTCACAATTCATCAATGTTATCAAATTAAAAAAAATTGAATATCATGGATAATCAAAATTAAATTACTAAAATGAAAGTATCACAGATATATATTTAGGCTCTGTTTGTTTATAATTGGGCTAGCACCAAAATGAGCATAGGCCCACAATTTAAAACTAATATTACAAGGCCTATGATGCATGTTATAGTCCATATTAATATATTTGGGGCTTCAAAATCAATCCCAGAAGATAAAAATTTATTTGGCCCAACATGTTTTCTTTTATTTACTTGTTTTAAACACTATAACTTTTCAGTATATATATATACTAGTGATGTTTGGTCGCGCAATGCGCGAACCTGGCCCAATATATCCGTAAATCTTAGAAATATTTGTATCTGGAAAAAAAATATTTTGTATTTGACCCGATATATTTTAGAAATATTTGAAGAATTTTAGAAATGTTTTATAAGTGTGATGTTTGTATTTGGCAAAAAAAAAATAAATTGTATTTGGCCCGGTACGTTTTAGAAATGTTTGAAGATTTTAGAAATATTTTATAAGTGTTATTTCTTAAATATAAATAAACTTGATTACATATATGTCTTGAATTAAATGCTAGACAAAATATAAAAGCATCCTAATAAGTTTAAATATTAGTAAGATAATTTATTGATTTTCTCCATTGGTTATGCCAAATCAATACTTAATTTTGGAGATTTATAATAGCTTTGTAGTTAGCTTCTTCCAAAGGATATACGCTTAATTGTTGGAACTATTTCTTCCAAAAGTTTATAGGTAGTAAAATATCAAAAATATGATTTTAAAACTGGTTAATTGTTAAAACTGGTTGATAAAAAATATTAGAATGAAAATAATATAAATTTGCATAGGTTTCAAGATATAGCAAAAAAGAACTCACCTTACGATGGCAAATAAAAAAAAAAGTAAAAGATAGCCCATTAAAATTTGAGAATTTTTATTTTTTTCTATAGGTAAAAATGATGTACAAAAACACAAATAAACGTAGACACATCATTCATTCCCTCTCCACCTCAAATTCATAAAAGGATTCCCCATAAATTAGTTAAAAGAAGCATCCTGAACTATTTATATGATGAGGAACTAAAAAAAGTCTAAAAACCAAATCCAAAAAAGTATATTCTTGAAACCCCGAACACAAAAAAAGAAACGTGCTTCATTTGTAAATATAATAATAATAATAATAATAATAATAATAATAATAATAATAATAATTGGTCAACTGAGAGTATGAAACAAAATCAAAAGTAATTAAACAAAGAAAAAAAATACTTCAATATTGGCCATATACGAAAAAAAAACCTGAGACTCCATAATTAAAAAAAGAAAACCACTCTAATTGAATGAAACATAAAAAATAAATTTAAAAAACCACACTTTGTAACAAAAACCCAATCAATCAATTCAATCCAAACATAAATAAAATCATACAAAAATTCTAGGCTAACTAACCAAATAAGAAATCACATCATACTACCTGACAACGGCTACGGTAGCTGTAACGGATGGACGCATAAAAATAATAGTAAAAACACTATTCTTGAACGGGAAAAATAAAAAATAATAAAAGCCAAACCAATGATCTGTGGAAATAAAATCATTTCAATTTGAATACCTGCAATGGCACCACCACAATGGCCGAAGCAAGATCAATGAAATTTTTTTTTTCCTTTGTGTTTATATGGAGAGGTAAAGAGAATATTTTTTGAAGTTGAAATTTTCTCCGATTACGATGTAGTTGATCATCACTTATAAAAAGATTGAATATGCTAATAGGAAAGGAGTATATTTCACCACATATTTTCAATTGATGATTGATGAGAAATTTGTTTTTTTTTTTTTAATTGTGGAGAAGGAATTGATTAAGGAGTCGATTGTCGTGGAGATGGGGATGAGAATTTGGGTTTTTTATGAACCCGTAGTTTTTTTTTTTTGTTTTGTTTTGACGGAAATAGGAGATGGAAGTGAATTTAAACTGCACTTACCTTTTAAATTTAGGAGATGTGGCAATAAAAATTTATTTAAAAAATATGATGTGGAAATGCCACATGGCAAATGATGGTGCTTTCTCTTAAGTGTGGTTTTTGTTTCTAATATAGTAAGATATATATATATATATAATTATATCTTTTATTCCAAAATATTCAAATTATTTTTCTAAAAATAATACAAAACACAACAATATCCTAAAAACTTATAACACAGTTAATCTACTCCAGGCTTGAATCAATTATACATTTTGTGCATAGCTATATAAGGGATTTTGTAATTAAAAAAAGTTACTGCACAAAATGAAGATGTTGCGTGGGCTTTTCATTTCCTCAATAATTTTTTCTAGTTTCTTCTTTTTTCGTTTATTTTTCATTTCAAGGATATTTTCTTATGGTGTATATATATTTTTTTCATGGGATTCAAATTTGTGACAATTTAATTCATTAATGGTTCACAAATTAATGATTATACAACAGTTGTACATTTTCTTGATAAATATAAAGAGATTTCATATATCTAATAGTTAGTTAAATTATGAATTTTGACAAGTGTCTCAACAAAACATTCTATTGTGACATATTTTTAAAAATGTCTTACCAAAGTTTTCTCCAAGTGTAATAATAAAAGAATGTCTCAATTGCATATTTCTTGAGACATGTGAATATTGTGTCTTAACTTTAAGTGTCCTAATGAGGGGAGGGGGGGTCCTAGTAGTTGAACAAAGAATATGCAAAGAACTATTTATCTAGGTTAGTTCTATGAATACATGATAAAAGGTTTGAAATAAAGGACAAGAAAATGGAGATAAAAAAGATAGGAGGGGTCTGCCTTCTATTGTTTTGATGATGATCGGATGATGATGATAATGTCTTGCGCGGCTTGCTTAAATAGAGTGGGAGCTGGCCTCCCCATAATGTTATTGGGTTTTGTACCCTAGACTTGTGTCAAGCTAGCATCTCAGGCATATCGCCTCCTTCATTGAGGGAGCTGGCCGTGGCTTTGCTTGGAGAAAAAGGTATGTCAAACTTGATTAATATCAAATCCCCTAAAAACTACTACTTCGGCCGCACAACACGAGTATTAGTTGATTAGAATTACAAGTCCTCCAGAGCCTTGTTCACGTGCTCCACTCTTTTTAATAAGAAAGAAAATTATCAATTAATTATAACTCAAATCCATGGAGCTTTCTCCCTTTCAGCCGAATTCCAACTCCTTTTGTAGCCAAATTAATCCAACTCTAGTGTGAATAGAATAATCATATCGAACCGGGAATCCTAATCTCATATTATATTCCTCCGAATGCATATTGTTATCCCATCGGTCGGCAGCCAGGGCAACCCAGTCGACGGAACCAAAATTATAGTACATATTTTTAAAGCAAGGAACGCCACCAGAGGACATTTGGCTGGATGTTTTATACGTGAAGTTAATTATTAACTTAACCATGGCTGCCTCCTCAACACCCGGCCGGCTGGCTCGTCCTGTCGACGCAATCATAAATATCACCGTAGAAGGTCTGCCCCTCCAAAAAAAAAAAAAAAAAGAAGTTAACCGCGATTGACCAGAGAATACTACCATTGAAATTAGCCTGAAAAATATTAATTTGAAGAAAATGACAATACCTTTGCAGTTGAATACGTTAATCGTCCCTCAGTGACAACTCTTCTACCTTCAATTCCAAATTTGGAGAAACTGAAAATGAACATTCCAAATAATATGAGAATGATATTGGAATCCATGGGAAGAAAAATAAAGAAATTGGTTTTCAGGTTTTTCGTATTAATTTTCTTCTTCTCCATGTGTATATTTATAATCATGATCTGTGAACTACTCTACAGAATAATGTATCTATTTTTATATTTAGTGCACTCTTGACCACGAAATCGATGGCGGTAATTTTGGCTGATACGAAATTGACAACCATACCTTAATATACACTTCCGATCGCATGAGGAATTTCTCAGTAATTAACCATACATAAAGCACAAATTATTTCCTTATGAAGGAATGGTAATAAATTCCATATAAAAAAAAGTTTATCCAAACCTGATTACATGCTATTTCATATTTTGTAATGAATTTCAAATCCTGGACTATGAGAATATATGTTAAATAAATACTCTGCGCGCGTGTTACACCAATCAACTTATGCAGTCGGGTACAAAGTAAAAAATGGAAATTTATAAATTTATGAGAATGGATAAGAATTGATAAATTTGGAATATCCCTTTTACCCTATTAAAGCAGAATACAGGATGTTGATGTGGCAACTTCTTAAAAATTTTTGGCTCCAAATCCACCATATTACATAAACTATTTTGTCATGTGTCATTCTCTTTATAAAACAAAAAATAAAAAAATAAACTTATTTCTAGATAAAAAGCTTCTAAAACACACTTTCGAATCACATTAAATTCCTAAAATCGTACTGCCAATAGAATTTCATTTCTCCACTTCTTTAGCAATATTTTTTCCTTTTGCCTTCTCCACTTTTTCACGATCTGTTTCAAAAAATTCCATCGTAGATTCATCCTACAAAATAGCACAATTATCACAAACCAGTACACTACAAATCAAGGATTTCAAAATTAAAATAATTAACACAAGCCACTATACCACATATCAAGGAGTTCAATAAGGAAACAAATTTCAGAAAACCAAACTATCAAGGGTTCATGCTATTCCGGCCATGGTGGCCAGAAAAGAAGCCATCAAAGCTAGGGTTTGTATAGTAGGGAGAAGAGAGAAGAAAGTGGAGCCTATCAAACGAAGTAAAACCATTCTTAGTATTTAATTTAGTATATTCTTAAATGTGAAGTTAATTTATTACCTATAGTATAATAATGACGTCATCATGTTTTAAGACTGATTAAACTGATCACCCAAATAAGAAGGCCAATTCAGTCTCCAGTCCAACATAATCATCCGTTTTTTGAGAAATTATCTCGCGAGATTGGTTAATGTACCAAAATTTCCCAAATGTATATTTTAAATCAGAACATTTGCCAAATGCATATTTTAAATCAGAACATATCTTGAAAATTAACCAATCATACTACCAACGTGAATGTATTCAGTTTACAGATCAAAATATTTTTCCAAGAGCAGATTATTCCAACATTATCTTCCAAATCACAAATTCGAATGAAGATCAACTCAAAAAGATATACGTCTTATCACAACCAATTATCTTTCATGCAAATATGTTAAACCAAGCCATCCAATACCTTTATAAGTATACCTATCGATGCGTAGGAGTATTCACCACTTCCATCTGTCTTTCAAAATCACATAACATATTTGAAAACACTTTTCCTGCAAGTTCAACGATGGCTGCAATAAACCAATTCATAGCAGATATCAATGGCTTCGTTGAGACAAAGTCCAAGCACTTCAGCATCACTGTCCGTGTGATGACCCTTTGGAAGATGCCTGAGTCAACAAAAAACAAGGCTATCAAGTCTCTTGAAATGGTTTTGATTGATGCAAATGTATGGTATCTTTTAATTTTTATAAAATTCATTTTGCTGATTAGTTTGCATTGTTCCTTTAATTGTACAAATAAGGATACAAAAGGCCTTTATTGTCATTACAGGGTGGCAAAGTACAAGCAACCATACCGGTTAGATTTATGAAAGAATTTGAACACCTTTTCAAAGAAGGTGTTGTTTGCCGTATTTCAGGCTTTGATCATGCTTTGAATATCAACGGAGGTTACCGTTGTTCCAAACATGAATACAAAATCGTGTTTTTACCAGATACCTTAGTTGATTCTGTTGAATATGTTAATATTCCGTTACATGTGTTCGATTTCACTCCATTTGCTGAGATTTCAAACTTCATTGCAAGTTTTGATTATTGTTTCGGTAAGCAATTGAGACCATTTAATAACTTACTATTAATTTAAATATATAATATAGATTCGATGCATTAATGATTATAATGTCAAAAAATTATGCAGACATCATAGGACACATTCAAGCGTACAGTAAGCCTGTGGTGGAGAATGGTACAAAAAGAATATCTGTTGAACTAGAGGATCAAAGGTAAAAAAAAACCTACACATTAGAATAGAATTAATACTGAAATTTGGTTTCACTTATTCATACAAATCTTTTGGGGTATTTTAAACCAAAATAACTTTATTCTCATTTCATGAATTGACAGGGCTGACAGGCTGAAAATTACTTTGTGGAATGAGCATGCTGACCGTGTTTTGACTCTCATGGATGCAAATCCTGAATACCCTATTGTGCTGATTGTTCAATATGTCAAATGCAAAAAGTATTACTGTAAGTTAATAGATTTTCAAAGTGATGACAACATGCATTAGTTAACATTTGTTATTTTACTATCAGACATCTTTATTGAGTACTTATCATTCATTTGTCTATTTTGACAAAAACAGCAAAGGCATCTGTCACGACAAACATCTACAATGGTAGAATTTATCTGAATGATGATAAGATTCCTGAGATTTACGACTACAAGACTAGGTGATGTAAAATAAGTCGTATTATTTTACAATTTATATGGAAAAAATCATTTTCAATGACAATGTTTTTTACTGACCTCTACAGGATGGATGACAATGAAAACAAGGCAGCTAGCATCCACCGGATCCCTATTTTGTCCTCTATTTCTGGATACACGACATATGAAGACTTTGTCAAGGAGGCTGCTATGATATCTATCAATGGTATAAATGATCTTGAACAGGTAAAGACATTTACCGTTACTTTGTACAAAATGTGAATATTTTAAAAATATTAGAATTAATGATTGTTTTAATATTTTTTTTTTACAGCCTGGACATGCTGTGACGTTTGGTAAAATAACTGGGCTGGCCAAGGAATTTGATTGGTCTTATACAGGATGCAACTTATGTAACAAAAAGGTGATCGAAATTAAAAAAGATGATGGTGGTATAACTCTAGCAGAACTAGATAATGCACAGAAAGGAAAAATAAAAAACACAACTGGTGATGCTGTATCTGCATCTTTAAAAAAATGGATGTGCGGCAAGCATGGTCCTGTTTCTTCTGTTGCTCCAAAGTATTATTCCCTTACCCTAAATTTGTATTGCGTAATAATCTTGGACTAATCCATATATTTTAGTGTTAACTACTATAAATAAATAATAGGTTCAAGTTGCAAGTTTATGTGGCTGATAGATCTGGTAGCCGGATTTTCACATTATGGGATAGAATGGTCTACAACTTCATTACCAAATCTGCTGCTGAACTCCGTGAAAAGGTTCGTTTTAATTTACATACATAGTTCCACTTATTCTAATGTAGTCAAAATACTTTGATAGTTTCATTAGCATTACACGAGAGACTTGATCCTTTATCAATACCAGGAACCATCTGTTGATTACCCTGTTATACTTGAAGAGGTCAAAAGGAAAAGATGCCTTTTTAGGCTTGATGTTTCGAATTTCAACATTAAAAATAGGACCAGCGAAGTTTCTGTTGCTAAGATTACTGTGGATTCAGATGTTATAAAGAAATACCTAGAGGTTGTGGCTGAAGATCAGGTATATGTAACTTAAAAATTGTTGTTGTTCATATTCATACAAGCTATTTATTAATATTAATGTGTGTTTGTCCTTGATATTATAGGAAATAGATCCAGAAATCAGTGCTGGATATGGCCTAAACTTGACCCCTACTCAGGACAGTACATCCAAGGTTTCAATTTAGATGTTGACTTTTTTTTTTAATGAAAGATGAATATCAAAAAATGTTATTACTAATAATGTCAGTTACGTATAACTTACAATTACTTTGCAGACCGCAGTTTCCTGCACTGGCGACACTGAAGTTCCAACAGCAGGGGATGATACTGCTGATAGCCCTCCTACAAAGAAGATACCACCAACCCAGGCTGGTGAGGAAAGTGTGAAGTCATATCCCAACAAGCGTGTCAGGAAGCTGTGAGAAATCTTTCATCATGAAGAAGGATTTTAATGCTTAGTATTCTGAATAAAGCTGTGATCATGCACAACAAAACTTAATTTACAGAATTGTTATTCTGTTTGACCTATATTCCTTTCTTTCATATTTTAGTTTTTCCATGAGATGTTATTGTTGCAGTACTTTGAAATTTAGTCCCAGTTTGCGTGTTTTATGATTCATACTTTTCTTTAAAGTTTAGTCACCGAGATACCCAGGCATCTTTTATTATTTCAATTATTTGAACTAATTCTTTGAATTTATATTGTCAACTTTATAAATACAAGAAACATACATTTCACAATTGTAGAATAAAATATATTAGTTTATGATGTATATATTGTACTCCCTGATGTAACATACTTTACCAGAAAAAGGATGAGTGCTTGAAAATAGTTTGAAGTCAACAAATTATAACAATAATGGGAGTCACTAATTTGTTAGTAACTGAATTCACTAATATGTAACTGTTTTGCCTTCAAATCTAAAATAAACTGGAAAATAACTACAATACTATTTTATTAGTTTGCTGTATTTACTGTTTACTTTATTACAGTTTAACTTTTAACCGGTTAGACAACTGCCATTTCTAAACACATCCTGAAAATCAGCATACAACTGGCATGAATACAATCATAGAATATTTTTAGGATAATTACCACATTCATATCAGTTTTATTTTATACAAATCTTCACTTCTTCTTTTTGTGAAGTTATTTTCCTTATGTATAAAAACAAAGATAAGTACTACATACATATCTCCTCCCAATCAGTAGTTCAATATCTTCCATGTTATGCCAAAAACTCCTATTCAATTTGAAAGGATGTTTTCAGATAAAAAGTTTAGATCAAGATCAGCAAGAACGCATGGGAAAAATGTATTACAGAAAAAACACTTAAGTGTTGTTTCCAGAAAAACAAAAATATCTCCGAAGGAAGCAAGATTTAAAAGAAAGCAAATTTTAGATAGAAAAAGAGGCAAGGGGAATATGAGTCACAACAAAGGCTATGTCCCAGATTGGATTCCCACATTTATCAGCTGCACTTTGTAAAGATGGTGACATTGTACTTAATGTGGCATCAAGTGGGATTGCTTCATTGCTGTTAGTTGGTGGTAAGACTACTCATTCAAGGTTTCAGATACCGATTAATGTCACTGAGCAATCAATATGTTCCATTAAGCCAGGAAGTGATTTGTGTGCATTGTTAAAAAGAGCAAGACTTATTATATGGGATGAGGCACCTATGGTTCATAAACATTGTTTTCAAGCTCTTGACAGATCATTAAGAGACGTATTAAGGTCAGTAAATCCTAAAAGTCTCGATCAACCTTCTGGAGGCAAAGTTGTTGTTATGGGGGGTGATTTCCGACAAATATTGCCAGTTGTTGCGAAGGGAACTAGAGCAGATATTGTTGGTGCTGCAATAAATGCATCGTACCTATGGAGACACTGCAAGGTACTACAGTTGACTGTTAACATGAGGTTAAGTGTTGGGAATTCATCTGCTGATCATGAGGCAATTCGTGAGTTTTCTGATTGGTTATTGAAAGTTGGAGAAGGGAGAATTTCAGAACCAAACGATGGTGAAGCTGAAATCGAATTTCCAGAAGATGTAATTATACATGAACCTGGGGATTCTATTGAAGTTATTGTTAGAACAATATACCCCTCATTGCTACAAAAGTTAGATAATCCGAGTTGGTTTCAGGAAAGAGCTATATTGGCACCTACCCTTGAGGTTGTTGACAAGGTCAACGAATACATGATTGGATTGTTACCTGGAGAAGAACATGAGTACCTTAGTTCAGATAGTCTTTGCAGCTCTGAACATGGAACTGAATCAGATCAAGGAGTATACTCTCCTAAGTTTCTTAACAGCGTTAAAGTATCAGGTCTTCCTAACCATAGGATGGTACTAAAGCGTATGTCCCAATCATCTTACTTCGTAATGTTGATCAAAGGGCTGGGTTGTGCAATGGTACAAGGATACAGATTACACGTATGGGCCGATACGTGATAGAAGGTAAGATAATTTCCGGAAGCAACATTGGTGATATAGTACCTATTCCTAGGATGGCAATTGTCCCTACTGATAATAGCATTCCTTTCAAAATGAAGAGGAGGCAATTTCCTATAGCGGTGTGTTTTGTCATGACCATAAACAAAAGTCAGGGGCAATCTTTGGACATGGTCGGACTATACCTACCACGCCCAGTGTTTTCTCACGGACAATTGTATGTCGCATTGTCAAGGGTGAAATCTAAGAAAGGTTTGAAAGTACTAATTTGCAACCGTGACGGAACAAGAACAAACCACACAATGAATGTGGTTTACAAGGAAGCTCTCCGAAATGTAATGTGAAGACAATCAGTGAATTTCATTTACTTATCAGTTCTAAAGAGTTCAGCTCTTGAAATAGGCAATGCATTTTGGCCAGTACTTACTGTTTTTTAATTACTTATCAGTTCTAAAGAGTTCAGTTCTTACTATTTTTTCTTTTAGCATTCCGCACTTTTTCAAATAATTTCCCAGTACTTATTCATATACATTAACATAGAATATAGGTTATATACAACAATCATCACACAATGCACAAAATATAGTGTTATCTGTCATTTGTTTGAACAAATGACAGAATAACCTCCTGCGTTCCTTTTCTTCTTTAAGGGATCTTAATAATCCATGACACCTAAAATAAATAAAAATGATTTAATTCTCTATCTACCTATAAATATAATGTAAAACATACATGTAGGAAGCAGCAATTGAACATGCTCTTATAAAAATTAAACAGTTTATCAATGCAAACAACAAATCTATCCCAGATGAACTAAATCTATGCATGCAAACAAATAAACTAAATCATCCCATCTAATTATTACTAAATCATTATTAATGTTTAAGATGCACAAATACACAATAAAGAAAAAGCAACATTACCTTCCGCATATGAAAACCTTCGAATGGAGCTGGGCTTTGAGTCAAGACAGCTAATTTGTTGATGTTGCAGGTACATGTTCACCTAAATTGATCATTTCCGGTCAAAATTTCAGAATCTACGGAGAAACTACCTAATCTATGTGTCAACATTGACTGAATCTTGATGACTAACAACCCGGAACAAAGCAGCCATTTCAATCCCACTTTTTGGAACAATCGCCGGCTAACTAACATAGCTATACAATTATATAGAAAACAGAAGTAATGAAATGAAATGAAAGATCCCTTTTCAGACGAAGTGTATAGAAGACCTCCCCACTTTCTGGTTTTACCAAAGTTTCTAAGACATGAAGCAAATACCCATTATATCCAGAGATTACTTTTTCAAGATGTTTCAAACAAAATACGAGAAACATATCTGGGATGATGTACTTAATTGGGCCTAAAAGAAAACTAACCCATTTGAAATAATTAATATTATACAGTATGGCCCAGTCAATAATGTGTCTTCTATTGCCTTTTCTGTTGAATACCAACACTAATGATTAAAGTACAAAATGTGTACGTATTGGCACATTGAAGACTTAAGCACCAACGGGAGATTTGTTTCTTTTGCTAATAACTTAACTTAACTCTCTTATTTTTCAATTCATTCTCAACAATATATTGCATTGTGGTTTATATTTTAATAGTTACAAAAAAAATCCTTAATATTAGTTTTGCAGGCTTAATTTAAACAAAAAATAAAAACACCTAAATCCATCAATTAATAATAAGGCCTTATCAACTAATTTATTATTATTCTCTTATAAACTCACATTTATATGTATATTTTTTAAGCACCAAACTATAGCATAAATGATATATACGCTATATTAATTCCTCAAAAAATAGTAATTCAATTAGATTTTAATAAAATAGTAATTTAGAGGAGCCGCCCGGGCATCTGTCTGGGCCAAGCATCTAGTTATAAATAATAAACTAAATGGCTCACGTTTGATATATCGTGTGAAGGTAACATCAAGATGAAAGAATTTGAAAGACGTGGCATCAGATAAGCTTGGAATACACATTGATTTTTTTTTTTTTTTGCTTTGTTTGTCATAGTAACAACATGTAATTGTGCATCTAATGAGACAGTCTTAGGAAACAACAATTATCGTAATGCTCTTCCTCGAAAGATAGTCAACGATAGATGTAAATTTTAAAATGTATTACAAACAATACTCCTCCGGACTTCCAGTAAAATATTTTGATTTGTCCTAAATTTCATCTAATATATTTTTCTAATTCAAAATAAATATTTGAAAATATTTTTTTACATTTATTGTGTTCTTCTACTTATTATAAAAATATTTTATGGTTTTTACTTAACACACTAAATAAAATTTAGAACAAATCAAAATAACCAATAATAAAAACTTGAGAGAATAAATGTTTCATTCAGAATGTGAACTATTTTGTTAAGAGTATTATTTTTTGGGTTGTTGTTTAGCATTAAGTTTGCAAAACGTTTGATCCAGATCAACATTATTTCCGAAACTGACTATTTCATTTAAGCACATTATTTCCGAAACAGACATACTGTGTACGTATTGTTTTTCTGTTCTTTATTATAATGTATGTTGATTTGTTTTAAATATTATTTAGTATGTTTCTTTAGTTAAAAATAAAACTTAAAAAAATCTATATTCATATTTATTTTGTTCTTGGAATCATTATAAAATATCTTTAATGTTTAATTTTTTGTTGAAAGGATATGCTAAATGAAATTTAGGACCAACTTAAATACTTTAAGAAATCGAAAAAACTCTTAATATATTGTTAAATAATGAAAAATAAAAGATTCCGGTTTATCTTTACTTTGGGGTCAAACATGCAATACACACAACAGATCAACCTATATTCTTATAACGATTTACAACAATCTACAGTTTTGCATGCGAGAAATTAAGTGGAGTTGAAGTCCTCAAGATGAACCTATTTCTTCTTGTTTTTCGGTTGGACAAAAACTCTCCAGGGCTTAACTCAGTTGAAACTTGA